AAGGGATTTTTCGAAATTCCAGTTCGAAGACGGTGAAACCACCCCTCAAATATTACAATATTTTTTATTTAAAAAACGGTCAATTTTCCGAAAAAAACGCTTAAACACGTATATTTTATTTTGTTTTTTACATATTTTAAGATTTTTTAAAAATGTATACAAGGTGTTTCGAACAACCGGGTCATTGATTAATCGCGCTTAAAGCGCTTGACGTAAAAAGCTGATTTTTGGAAAAACAGATTGACTTTAGGGTGTAGAGGTTCGATAAGAACGGATTTTTCGAAACTCGAATTCTAAGGGGGTGAAACTATCTCTCATGAATTTTATTTTGTTGTTTTACATATTTTAAGATTTTTTAAAATTTTATACAGGGTGTTTCATAAAATATGGCCATTGAGTAATCACGATTCTGCTTAAACTGCTTGACGTTTAAAGCTGAGTTTTGGCAAACGGAGTGACTGTGGGGTGTAGAGGTTTGATAAGGAGGGGTTTCTCGAATCTCAAATTCCAAGAGGGTGAAAACGCCCCTCAAATATTACAATATTTGTTATTTAAAAAACGGTTAGTCTTTCGGGAAAACGCTTGGACAAGCATAATTTATTTGGTTTTTTTACATATTTAGAATTTTTTTAAAAAAATCATACAGGAAAAGTTGGGTGATTTCTTAACCACGATTCTGCTTAAACTGCTTGATGTAAAAAGCTTATTTTTGGCAAACGGATTTTTCGAAAGTCAAATTCCAACGAGATGAAACTACCACTCAAATATTACCAAATTATATAATAATATCGCCATATTGTTTTTTCTCATGCTGACATAAATGTGAGAAAATTGTATCCAGTTTGTATGTTAATGGAAATTCTTACTTTGCTTTATCATCGCCATTACAAATGATTAATTGGACGCGAACGAAGTCGCTGGTACACCGCTAGTTTGATATAAAGATAAAAATCACACAGTAAATGTTGTTGAATTAAAAAGATCTACTAAGTAAAAATGTATAAATAAGTTACTAACTTTTATTCATAAAATGCTTTATATGCATGCATTAGTATTTTTAAAAGTCCACTGCAGTATTATTGCATTTTTCTCGGTACCAGACTGCCTGTTAATATTCTATTTTTAGCTCTGATCCTGATCTTTATTTGAATTTAAGACTTTGTGTTGACACTGCAGTAATTTCTTCGTGCAGTATCAAGCAAAATGGACTATTCCAACAATACTGTCAGGCGTTGTTATTAAAAAACATTAACAAATAATAAAATATATTGTTTTCTGCAGGCATAGACTAGTTTTTTTATTCTATTCTGACCAACCTAATCTTTCTTAATTCCGCACTAGCAAAGTTTACAGAATAAATTTCCTGTAAACTTTGGCACTAGGTCCATTCAGACCCCTGCATATACTGGCGTGTCCCTTAGGTACCCAAATAATATTATAAAAAACCAAATAAAAAAACCTTAGAGATATTTAAAAGAAATACATACAGGGTATCTTTTATGAATTGCGAAATAAAACAACAGTTGATTAAGATAGATTAAAATTACTGATTAGTCATTTCCTGACTTAATAGTAATTTTACAGGTTACTTATTGACAGGAATTTTCTATTGTTCTGAGGAAAATCAGCGATTCAAAGAAAAATGCCATTAATGTAGTTTTCCTGTACCTTTTAAATTGCCTACTAGCTTGGATATAGAGGGTGTCCCAATATTATTTCGCGAACACAGATCTACTAATAATTTTTTCTGGAAGTTCGATAGTCCCTTCTAGTATATACTACATTTTTTCTCTTGCAAAAAAGCGCCACCTTGCATAGTTCTGAGAAAAAAAATGTCTTTCCGAAGCTGATTTACAAAAAAATTAAATATAATATCAGTGTCACAAAAGGTCACAAATCATTTTTGACAATAAAAGTTTCGTATGGGACACCCTGATTTTTTTTTATGTAGCAACTTATCGAGATATTTTCCAACAAGTTTAGTAATATATTTATATAAGAATTAAACAATGAATGAATTATTTTCTCTTAGTCATTTGTTGTTGAAAAAATTGTTATATCTACCATAACCATAACCATGTTTACGAATATTATTCATTGATAAATGTTTATTTAAAGTTGATAGTTCTCCATTTTTTTTTTAACAGATACCAGCGAATATTAACTTGTGCATAATATACCGGCTTTTATATACCGGGTTATGATCGGCTCAGGAATTGTATGTCCTGAGCCTGAGTATTTATGAATTACTGTTCTACAGAAAAAAACAATAAAACAGATAAATATATACTTATTATGACATATGCCTTTTAAAACATTTATTCCTCATTCATTTTATTCTTATATTTTCTATTGTTTCATTCATTATTTATGATTTTTAAATTACTCAATCTTACTGGCAATAATTAGTAGAAAATCTGTGACGTCAATAGTATTGATTATTCGCAGGAAAAAAAATACTGATGCGTCATTTTTTTTTAATTAGCATTTAATTGAATATTGCGCTGGAAACTAATTGTTTTAATTTTCCTTTAATAACTATAGTATGTGGGCGTGTTACTACTTTAAAATTGGTCTCAATATCTCAGAAATAACATTGTTAATTAAGAAACTATCTACGCCATTGAATTCCGCATATAAAGTTCTATAAATAACCAATCCTGTACCATGGAAACTAAGGTCCATAACCATAACAACTTTCTTTAGTTTCATAGAATACTACCACATACTTTTATGTTTACTATCTGCACCCTGTATATTATTTATCTGAAAATTTTGAGTCGACGGGAAAGACAGATGGGATCGACATCATAAACCCCCACCTTTGACAGTTCTCTGTTTGAAGTTTTGATTGACACATTTGAATTTGATTTGAAATTTTGCGGATTTGTTACGCTTTTCTGAACTTATTTTACGTTTTTTATTATTTGTTCTAGAATTTGTTTTGTTATGGGGTATATTTTTTTAACTTATTTTTATTAGAAATAATGTTTTTTAATAACTAATAAGTATCGCATCCCACATAATTTTGATATTATGCTCCTTCCTGAATATTTTTATTAAAAGGTTTCCCTGAAGTATTTTATCATCCATTTCAAAAAAAAACTGTTGAGTTGACGATGATTCAAAAACATATTTCAAGAATATAGAAGATTCTAGTTATATTTTATTGTATCCATGGACCACGTTTACTTATTGGAACCGATCTTTTGTTATAAAAAAGATAATAAACCAATATTTAAGATTGTAAAGTACTTAGGCGCCAGACATTTTTTTTATATTTGCAGGTATTATCTGATAATATTTAGCTGATAAAATAATCTTTAACAATTGCGTTTTTGGTCATATCGACAGTTTTAATAATATATCTGAAGGGTGTATACCGTTCAGAGATAAAAAAAATAAAAAAAAATTGAAAATTTTTATATCGAATATTGATGTTGTTTAGTCTGGTATGTATGACATTAGTTTATAAAATGGCAATACTTCAGATTGAGGATTTTTTTTCAAAATAGTGTAAAAATTAATCAAGTGACGTTACTGTGTATAGTTTTTTTTATTGTATTATTGTCTAAATACATTTTGTGTGTATTGTTCTATACCTAAGTACAAACTGTGTTTGAAATATTTTAAAATTTATGTCAAAAATGTGACAGATGCAAAGCAGAAGTAAATTATACAGGGTGCTTCAAAAATGCAGTTCCTATAAACATGGGTCCGGAAATGTTTTAGATACAGAGGATGTTAAAAATTTTAAAAAATAGTTTTTTTGTAACTTTTCTTAAATATTAAAAATACCTACCATTATTTTAATACTTTTATTCTAGTTTTCAATTGAAATTTAGTATTATAAACGGTTTTTAATGGGGTTATGTAATATTTTTTCTCGAATGTAGTACTGGATAGTAATAAAATAAGACACAAAAGAAAAAAAAATATGTATTTTTAGTTGCCTTATCAGGAAAAGAAATTAAAAATTACAAGAAAAGTCAGTGGCGTACATATTTTTTTTTCAATTATCTTCGATATGGTGTCCACTGGTACGCCACTGTTAAGTTAATAATTTTAATTTAATTGTGCGTAAATTAAAAATTATAGGCCATTATTACTACTAGAAACAACGCTGTACAAATTTCAAGAGTGTCGGACGCAGGGTTTTTGATATATACAGAGTGAATCTTTAATAAGTGCAAATATTGAAAGAAATTTGGGAAAAAAAGTAAATTTGGATTTTTTTTTTGTTTTTAGTTAAAAAATGTAATTTGTTGATAATATGGCAACATAGGTAGTAGATTAAATTTACAAGAAAGAAAATCTAGAAAAGATCCAGTAGTTCTCAAAATTTTAGCAAAAAATCATTTTTTTGGAAATTTTCAAAGTAAAATACCTCAGTTATTTTAGATTTAGTTGAAAAACGTTAAAGAGAAAATATGTTTCTTTTATCGAGATCACCCTGTATAATTACAAATTTTTTTTTTAATAATTAAATTTTTTGGAAAAAATACACTTCCGGAACACCCTGTATAGAGTATACAGGATCGTGGTGCGTCTCATACGACGCGGAGGCTCCCAGGAGGGCTCATAATAAGGCAAATACAGTAAAAAATAATATACAGGGTGTCCCAGTTTCAGTGATATTTCGAAAACGACAGCTTCCAGCGAAAAAGTAGTTATACACCCTGTACAAAGTTGTCTATACATTTTTTTAACCCATATTTACATAAACACCCTGTCTAATAATCTTTCTAAAAGACGGGCAGCATAAATTTGTGAAATCTTCATTAGTATCGAAAAAGAACTCTTTTTTAGACACAATAAATTAAAAAGAACTTCCGAAACACCCCGTACAGAGTGTACACAATGAACGGAAATTCTTCAGAATTATTCCACGATCAAAATAAACAAAATTCTATTGTTTACCAGGAAATAAATTCCAATTTTTTTCGGGTGTCTCCCCACTACAAAACCGTTTTATTTTGATCCTTACCGCCAGAGCTTCCAGCGCCACGGACTACAGCAAACTCGATTCAGTCAGTTTCTCACGCTTTCCCGTGTAGAACCGGCCTTAGCAGAGCTTAAACCCGCGCGCATTTCACTCCGATCGAACGTTTTTATTCGTCGTGCCAGATTTTCGCATTTTCATCGATTTTCCCTAGTCTGCTTCGACTCAGTTCAGTCCACGACGACATTGAAAAACATTTGCGTACGTCTCGTGACGCATCACGTAGCCACGCAGCCCTATTCCATCGAATTCATTCATTCATGAAGTATCGACGTGTATGTGTGTAATAAACTTTACTTACGATTGAAAACTGTGCGATTACAGCGAGAAAACTCTGGATTTCGAGGCTTCTATCCTGTGTTCTTCCTTATTTTCCTGTATCTGGATATGAGTGAGTACCGATTGCTTTTATTTGGATATTTTTTCGTATTTTTACGAACAAAAAACAAAGTAATGATCGACCAGCTGACTCCCTCCGCGGAATCTCGCCGGCGTTGCCGATAATTGTTTCCGTTCTCTCGTTTTAAGGATTTTGTTTTATAATTTTGTAAAACGCTGTAAATGTAACGTTATATAAATAAACTATGCTCTCATTTGCTTATCTGCGGCATGTTTGTTGTTTTTGTTGTCATTGTTATGGAGTAAATATCTAAAGGATCTAGATAAGATAAAAGTGAAAAAAATTGTGAGAAAAATGAGAATTAAAAGGATATTTATGATTTAATTGTGTTTCTGAATAAGTGTTCGTATTTTTAAGGTAAAAAGATCATATAAACATCTGTTCTAAAATGCTTTGTTTTCGAAATACAGGGTGTCAAAATTTTCGGGAATAACATAGTTTTTTAGTTCGTACGGGGAATTGACTGGATATTTTTGAGAAAAAAAATGATCACTCATCACTCACACGATTTTTCTTAAAATAAAAATTATTTTTAGAATCTCCATTGATTTTAGAACGAATTATGTCTCTTGGTATTTTTTGCAAGACGTATGGTTTTTGCGTAAAAAAATAAAAACCATTTTAATGCATCGCGAAATTGCTAAAATCTGATACCGTGTTTTGTACGTAAGGTACAATAAAATTCCTTAACGTACGGCACTGGTAATAATAAAATAATTTAAGAAAACATTTTTTTGTCGAGAAATGCCCATTAATAAAACGTTGACACCCTGTATTCCAAAAACAAAGCATTTTAAAACATATTTATGTTTATATGACCTTTTATCTTAAAAATACCTGAAAAATCACCCTGTAAAATATCGGACATTTATTCAGACACACCCTGTATAGTTTTTATAGAGTTAAAATATATTTTAATATAGTTTTTGTAATGGTAATACGAAAATAATATTCATATGGCTGTTTTAGTAAATCAAATTCATGATTTCAAGTTAAAATATCAATTTAGTAGATATTTTTAAAGCATACCAAAGATATCAACAAGATAACTAAAATATCTATGTAACTTTATTATCATTATATTTGATTTGAAAGCTCATAAAGTTCGAATATGTAGGCAAAAAAGTATTTTTTATAATCATTTCGTAGTTTTCAGATTTTAAAAATTACTTATTCTTGATTTTTTTATATTTTGTATGCTAGCACTGGGGCTAAAACAAAATACATAGTATTCTAATAATATTCCGTAGACATAGTAACTACATACTACGTATTTTATGAATAAAAATATGTTAATTGAACACAATTTATCTCTATACAAAAGTTCTTCGTTTGTCCGGTAGAGGGCATCAAATTTAAAAAAAAATAAACACACTTTTCGAGATATCTCAAGAACCGATATTCCGACATGAATGAGATTTAGAATGCCTATAGTTTACTAGGCACTTAATCATTTGACCTTCATAAAAATACAGCTGGAGTACAAGAAGGGTGAAAACTACCCTCACCCTTACATAAATTCTCGCTGAAATGTTGTGCAACTTTGGCAACGACTGATTTCTGTTTCGCAAAATGTTCTTTTTAGTATTTACTACATTTTTTGTCTCTTGTAAAAAACCTCTAGGTCTCGTAGTTTTTGAGAAAAAAAATGTTTTTTCGAAGCTGACTTACAAAAAATATTTCTTTTCAAATCAAGTAGGTATGTGATAACATTCTAGTTGGCTAATATGTTATGTCAGTGTCATAAATGATTTTTGAAACTCTGCTTTACAAGTTTTTGGATATATTAAAATTTTAAGCCCTCTGAAGGACAAACAAAACAACCATTTTCTGAAGTTCTGAATAAGACTTAAGTAACAATATCTTAAAATGAAACAAACAAAAAATTACTGTAAATCTTCCGATAAAACGTTTACAAGTCATCACTCTGTGCGAAGAGCTCTTAAAATAAAGCAGAATTAAATAAAAAAAAACAAGCCGCGGAGGCCGAGACATACATAGGCCCCCCGACAACGGCATTCCTCCCAGTCTGGAAGGAACGGGTTTGAGACGTGGCAACGCCGCGGCCGGATCCTTTAGTTGATTAGTTGGCAGACTGGCGCTGCTTGCACAAGGCACTTTTCGTGTGATATTCCCGACGTTTTGGCGTGTTTTCCATCGAAATTCACCGGAAAAAACGCGTTATGAACGGTAGTTTGTGCTCAAAAAAGGGTCTGTAGAGTTTCACGAAGGTCAGTATACATTTTTTGGCGTTTTTTTCGCGGAAACTAGCTGGGAAAAGGGGAAATATCGTGAACTTGTTCGGCCATATGTCGAAACAATCGCCATTTGTGTTTGTTTGTCGGTTAATGAAGCGTTTTTTTTAAGTTTTTACAAGGTTTTCGTGGCATTTTAGGCCGGTCTGCGGTAGGTACGTACCGTCGGCTTTTCCGGGAACCCGTCTAGAGCCTCTATCTCTGTCTGGTGCGCTCTCCTTCGCTCTCGGTCATTGATGTGATCTCGGTGGAATGTGGTAGGGCCAGTGGCTGGGTGGTACCAGGGCCGCGGGGCCAGGGGAACACTTTGGAATGCTGGAACTCGTGAATGGCTCCGAATTCCGTCGGCTGCTTTGCCGGTACGGCCGCACCGAGACGTACTCTCTATCTTCTGTCTTATTTGCTCTTTCTTGCTTCAAACCGCGGGCCTAGAGATGGCAAAAGTACCCAATTTATCGATATATGTATATAATAAACTATTTTTAACTGTTAAACAAATCTATGCAAACAATCAGTCATATTATTAGGATCGGTATTGTTAGTTGCATACCTACACTCTTTTTTGTTATACTGCTGTGTTTTTTATCAGAATTTGATTAGATAATATGGAAAAAACTGCAAAACTATATTGTTTACACGTTCAGTGCTTTGAGAGATATTTAGTACGATATACAGACTTACCTATGAGAGATACAGAGCAACCAACAATAATTGAAATCGTCAATATTGTGTTGGAGGATTTTATTTATGACATTGTTGCCAACTCAGCGGTTTTCCAGATAGATCTAGCGTTTTTGTTTTCAGTCTATAGCGGGAAAAAACATTTAGCAGCTAAATTTTTCAATAATTATTAAAATTGATACAAAAATATGCACCAATAATCGCGTAATTATTGTAAAGTAATTGCAAAACAATTTTCGATGCACGTGATTAACTTTGGGTGACAAGCGATGGCTTGGGATGATTGGGAAGCTATATATTTATTATATCATTTGTTAAATAATAAACGACAACGTTGCTGATCGCGGCGCAATGTGACCAACATGGCGATAACAAAAATCGCTTTAAATTAATTTTTGCAGCTTTAATTTAAATAAAACATCTGTTACAATCATTTGCTCTACAAAGTAAAATGAAGAGGTGCTGGGTATCTTAAATTATACAACAAATTTAAACATTTTTGCCAAAATTTCATTTAGTAAGCTTTATAGGCTTTATTGTCAATTTCGATATGATGATGTCAATTTTTGCCTACTCTGCCTAGATTAATACAACAATAACTAACAGGAAACCATCTTTTGTTACAGGTGAGCAGCGAAGAAGTACCGTAGTAGCCGGCCAGTCGTCTAATTAGGAACTATGACTACTAAGCTCTTGACAGCACTCAGCAACATTCCCAGGAACCTCAGCGAAGCGGACAACGGGCCCAAAGCCTCCCAGGAACCCCCCAGCGATACTTCCAGTAGCGGCTCCGAAACGAGTACCAGCACAGACTTTCGCAAATACATCAGCTATGAGCAACGTTTGAAAACCTTCGATTCCTGGCCGAATCAGGAAGTGAGCAAAGAATCTCTAGCCAGTGCCGGGTTTTTCTATAAACAACGCAGTGATATCGTGCAATGCCCTTACTGTAACATTGAAGGGTACCAGTGGGTTGCTGGTGACGATCCTGTGAGAGATCATCGCACTTGGAGCCCGCATTGTCCCTTTGTCATGACAATGTTGGAGCACGACAACCAGGACCCACGAGAACCTGCCAGAGACACTTGTGGACTGTACGGCTTAGCGATACTGCCTAATTCTGTGCCGGAAGACGAGGTTAATTTGGAACGGTTGGGTATACAGAAAACGAAAGGTCCCTCTCATCCCGATAAGTTTTTGCTGGAAACCCGATTGGCTACGTTCAAAGCATGGCCGAAATCGATGCGTCAAACGCCAAAACAACTATCAGAAGCGGGATTTTTTTATGTCGGAGTGGGAGACCAGACGTTGTGCTTTCATTGTGGAGGCGGACTAAAAGACTGGGAGGCCAGCGACGATCCGTGGGAGCAGCACGCGATTTGGTTCCCAAAGTGCCAGTATCTTTTCCTGAAAAAAGGTCCGGACTATATAAAAGAGATGGAGAAACGAAGGAATCCACTTCCTGTTTCCTCGGACGAAGAAACCAAAGAAGAAGCTTCCTCACAGACCTCGGAGAAATCGGAGGACTCTGCAGAGCCGATTTCGGACGGGGAATCGAAGACTTTGTGCAAGGTCTGCTACAAGAACGAAGTAGGAGTCTTGTTTTTACCTTGCGGGCACATAGTGTCCTGCGTGGAGTGTGCCCCGGGTTTGAAAAAGTGCCCGATGTGTCGGAAGCCTCTCGAAGGCACGGTGCGAGCGTTCCTATCCTAGACTTTGCCCTGTTAAACATTATTCAGACTCTAGTCAGCAGACAAAACAACTCTGCGCTCCCAGAAGTCTATTTTTCTACGTCACTTGACTCGTTGAACTGCTTCTCCTACTCGGACTTTAGTACAAACTCTGTTAGTTTAGGTTTAGGTTCACACAACATTACTACGCTTTACTGTCGACCTATTAATATTATTATTATCCGAGACGCTTATAGAATTTTCGTTTATTTTAATAACTACACGACTGCAACAACCATTCATATCCTTCATAGAGTTAATAACGGAATACGTGGATTAGGGTGTGCGAGGGCCATCAAACATTTACTGTTGATTTTTCATCTTCTGTCTTTTGATGTTTGTCTGAGTGTATATTGCATAAATAAATCTATATATTATTTATACAAAAAAAACTGTCTACTTGTTTTATTTCCCCCGAACTTAACATCGATAAGAAAATATAAATTACTTTTTTACCTATTTTTTCGAAGTACTGCAATAAATAATCTGTTAGAAAATCAATATGGCGTGCTGTAAATTTAAATATTTTCTCTCGCGCCATCTATTCGTAGTTTTCAGTTTCAATATTACAGATTTCTTTTATTTTGTTTGAATGTCGCACTGTTGCCGATATTATCTTACATTAATATATTATTTGTAATTCTAGATGGCCTAAAATAAAGAAATATTTTTGGATTTTTGAAGGACTTAAAAAATAAAAATATTATACAATATTATCGAAAAAAAAGGGGCGTCAGCGATGGTTATGAAATGAAGATCGCCGTCATTTTAAATGTAAAATTATATGATGATTATATCATTTCTAAGCCTGGCACTATATTGCTGTTATACAAGGTAAATCAAGAAGACTATATGTTATATTTTTCCTCCACTATTTCAAATAAAACACACTGTATTTATAGCATAAATAAATGTAGTTTTATTCAACATTTTTATTTGTTTTATGTTTAAATATTAAAAGAGATGTGTAGAAAGTTTAATCTAAAAATGGCCATGTTTCAAGAATGACTCGGTAAGTCATTTTTGAAACAGAAACTTCACGACAAATTTTCTAAGCAAAAATATGTAAAACCTTTCTTTAAAAGAACTACAACTTTATAATGTAAACTATAGTGTGTATATACGCATTTAAATCGCCCTGTATATAAAAAAAATTAAATTGTGGGCTTGCATATTTTACAAAAAAAAAATAGAGTAAAAAATCACTAATGATGATTCTAAAATTAATGATTTTTTAAAAGATCTGACAACGCTGCCCCTGGCGATAACTTACTAAACTAGATTTGACACCAGCACAAAAGAAACCTGTAAAGTCAAGTATCGGAAACGTCAGAAACTTCGAAACTTGTTTTGAAATTGTTTTTTAATGGCCGAGAAACTTTTTTTCACGATTTACAGTTATAAATAACAGAAACAAGCCTTGTTTTATGGTGTAATCGCAACAATATTTACAGAAAATGGAATCTCAACGGTTGTTATCGTCGAAAGGGACTGTCCAAACACCCGACGAAAGTTTCGAAGAAGACTGGGCGGAAGAATCAACTGGAAGTTCGTATTATTCAGATTCTGATAGGTATTGACCTTTTTAAATGACTGTACAAGTAAAAGCAAGTAAAAATATTAATATTTTCATTCATAACTTTAGTACTATACCTGACTGGGAGCCCTACATCGATGATTCTTCTGGAGAACTACTTTACATCGACTGCCACCCCTTTGTAACACATAACAAAGATCACATTAAGTTAGACAGTAAAAGCGAACCTTTTTCGAAGACCCAACTGCGTAAAAGTACCAGAGGAAAGTTCCTGAGGCTTATTAGACGTAAGGAAAGCAGTAGGAGAAGTAAAAAAGCCCTAAGACCGACTGAAGAAGGTTGAATTACAAGTTTTACTGTGAATAATCTTTAATTAAAATTATTTTTTATAATTAGGGAGTGAAATAAATACGCAGAAGGTAAAATTTCAAGATTTTCAAGAAGGGGAACAGAAAATAGTGACTCTAGAAATAGACAGCGAGAATCGGTATAATTTGTCCAGTGATAAATCACTTGCCGAGTCATTGTTAGGACTGATTGTCAGTACGTTATCAGATGGTAATAGAGTAATGATAGCAGGATTTTCCTATGACAGTAAGGCCAAACATGAGAGAAATATCAAGATAGGAGATTGGCTAAAGAGTATTAATAACATGGACGTAAATGTGCAGAATCTTGATGATATTCTCCAAAAGTTTATCAATCATTCTGAGGTATTTTTTAGGTTTTTTAATATTATTAAGTTATTATATTTTAATCATATAAGGTGCTTCTTACTCTTCAAAGAGTCGCTGCTACCGAGGTTACTAAAGATCCTCCGATAAATGAATTGAGTGTAGAGTCTGATTTTGTGAGAGAACTGTTAAATACAAACGAAGATGATGAAAATCTATCAGAAAAACTCTGTTCTCATCCTTTAGGAGTGATTTTTCTTGATACAGGTAGATGTTTTATTTATTTTTATTTATTATATGACTTATATATACTGTTTTAAGATAAATGTAACGAAGCCAACGAAGATATTCTGTATTTTTATCCAAAACCACTAAAGAAAAATATACTTTCAATCTGTAGAGGTGTCTTTATCACCCTCAATCACCTTTTGCAAGACTTAACCGATACAAAACCCAGAACTAGTTCGATACTACACAAAGGTAGACTGGCTCACATAGTCTACACGCAATTCGAGAAGCATTTGCTGCTCTACATGCTGCCAGACGATCTGGCCAGCATTAAGGAGATCGTTTTGATGAATAGGGAGTTGATAAATTTTCTAGAATTTCTCTATGGAGATCTGGAGAGGTGTTTTACGAAGAATTGTAATTTTAAACGTTTGGATTGGTTGTTTTTTCGGTAAGTTTTTATTTTTTAATATCTTTAAACTTTCCTTTAATAAAATAATTATTTTTTATTGATATTCTTTCGTTTGTTTCCGCTTTTGATATTTGTTATGTAAATTTTGCATAAAAACGACGTAACCACAGAATATCTTAGCTATACAGAAGCAAAACTAAGCGTCGCGTCGGTTTGTTTGAAGTTTGTGTGGTAATTTTTTGACCTTGAAGTCGCATAGTTTGATTAACTGGTACACTGAAAAAAAAGGTCTAGGATTTTATTTAAGAAGTTTTTAAATACACTGAGATAAATATTATGATTTCTTATATAGCTTATATTATACAATATGATCGAAAAAAAAACGGCGCCAGCGATGGCTATGAAATGAAGATCGTTGTCATTTTATATGTAAAACTAGCGTGTACCCGCGACTTCGTTCGCGTCGAATTAATCATTTGTAATGGTGATGATAAAGCAAAGCAAGAATTTCCATTAACATACAAACTGGATAAAATTTTCTCACGATTATGTCAGCGTGAGAAAAAACAATATGGCGATATTATTATACAGGGTGTTTCAAAACAAATGCGAAAAACTTCAGGGGGTGATTCCTTGTTCAAAATAAAGAGTAGTTTGCTTTATAAACGTTGGGTCAAAAGTCAACCATTAGGGATATATCGCGGTACAAAGATGGCGGAAAAGTGGCATTTCTCTTCCTATCCGACGTATATTTTTAATTATTTCAGTATAAATTTTGAATTCAACACAAAATAATAGAAATATATCGATATATAAACACCAGATAAGTAAACGAGAATTAAAATCTAGTTATTTTTTAAATTACTAACAACATGTCACCAGAATCCGCCATTTTGACTCCAAAAGTACTAGACAGAGCAGAGTTATATTATCTAGGGACTTCAATTGGATATAAAAGTAACCCTGTGGTATTTATTTAAACCGTTACATGGCGGCAAATTCAAAATGTTTTTTTTTAAAGATATTTTGCAAGAATTGTAAATGGTAACAAATGGGCTACTACCAAGCAATTTTTGGAGCGCATCGGTAATCCAGAGCGGATTTTTGACAGAACGGATAGTTTTTTCGAAGAACTCATGCCAGTGGTGCCAACATTAAGCCTGCACGACGACGCTTTGATGCAGATTGACGATGCCCTAGCTGAACTCGAAGCAAGCGACTATAGAGAATGGGTACCATGACACCTTTTTTTTTTCTTTTTTATGTCATGACCTCAAAAACCTCACTTTTTTTACTAGAACGAAGATCCCTTGGACTGTCAAAGACTGTTCACCATCCTGGGCAGTGCCTTATTTCACTCAGGGTACCTTTTGGCCTCGCACATGATTCACGAAGATTTGGTAGAAGTTTATAACTTCTGCAAGCAGCAAGGGTTGGTACATCTGTCTAGAACCGAACCTGTGAAATCCTTGGTAATGTGGAGGGAGGTATTCCCAAGGTCTTGCAGAAGAAACTGTGGTAATGATTCATTAAATGCTCCCGATGGTAGTCGGTATCTCTTGGTGGTTGGCAGTGGAAAGGTAAGGTTAATTCAGAGAAAATTTTAGGCTATATTATGAACTATACACGGTTGAGGTGACGTCGGGTTGAATTATGTTGGCTTCAGTATTCTTAAGGGAGAACGAGTCTAGGTGTTTTATGGTCTAAGATATTTTTAAACATACAGAGTGTGAAATAATATCGTCGTTGTTGACAAACATGAAAAAAAGTTTTATACAGATGTTACATGGTTTAAAATGGTGCATATCCTAAAAATATTTTGTTGTAGTTGGTTAGTAGTCATCCTGTATGTCTCAAAAAAAAGTTATGATAAAATTTTAAGAGTCTATGACGCTGTACTGTTCGGGTGGCTCTCAGGGGTCGGGTAAAGCGGGTGTGTGACCGAAGGAAATATATATTAGATTTCAGAAATCTGCCTAAGGCTTAACCCGATCCTGTCATGTTAGGTTAGGTTAGGTTAGGTTAGGTTGCTGATACCCCTGTATTGTTTTACCAAACCTTCCTCTCATTCTTTCTTTGCGTTAAAGGACTTCCAGCTCTTTGCAAAGTTCCCGATGTCGCTGATGTTGGCTTCTGCTGCTTCCTTTAGTCCCTCCAAAAACCTTGCCCTGAAGTTTTAAAGCGTCGGTATTCCATTGTAGATCATTACAGCCATCCGATAGCCTCAAAGATCGACGGATGTCTAGTTTCTCTGAGAAGATGCCTACACCTGTGCCCCCTGAGTTTGCGGAAGCATCTGTGTAGACTGCTATCTCTTGAGTGTTCATTACTCGGTTGCTTTCCCATTCTTCTCTTGTCGGGATGCGAATCCTTATCTTTTCTCCAAAATCATGTTTGGTGAGCAAATAGTCCGTTTTCTGGTCTAGCAGATGTGGACTCTTGTTTACCATGATTTTTCCTATCACTGGCGATATCCTCGAGTGACCGTAGTTGGTCTGGTTCCACAGATTGGATTCCCTTAATCTTAGGGCACCCTTAGCGGCCAGATCCTTCACGAGCCAGTCGATTGATTGCAAGTCCAGAATTGCTTCTAGCGCAGCTTGCGCTGTGTTGTTCCTTGCTCCAGTTGTACCTAGAGCTGCTAATCGCTGTACTTTTGTGAGGCTTTTTCTATTAGTCTCTTTAAGTACCGCTTCCCACGATACTAGTGCTCCATAAGTGATGATTGGTCTAACTATAGCAGCCTTTGAATAAGAAGACTAAGGAAGGAGCATAATGCTATCCATGTATTCATGCATGGTGGGCGGAAAAAGCGCCATAAAAGCACTCTAGGGTGGGGATCCTTGACAGTTCTGTTTGACGATTCATTTGACACATTTGAATTTGATTTGAAATTTTGTGGATTTATCAGTCCTTACGGAGCTTATTTTATGTTATTTATTATTTATTCTACTACTGATAGTGTATAAAGGTAGTAAATCTAGATGGAAATTGTGGCAGAACTTAAATTAACAGTGACACTATCGCGATTTATCGAAAAATACTCTAAAATAGTTGGTTGTGTAGCGTGCGGTAGATCTCGGCAAAAATTGAGTGAAATAATGGAACAACTTTTCGCTAGTATGTGACTATATAAAATACATACGTGTAGTAAACCGATCATTTATGAAATTCACTTAAATTAACTAAATTATATATTTTTCTTGCATTTTAGCTTTTAATTATTACTTGTCAAAGATTAGATGTCAAAGAATTTAGATACGTTAATTTGACTTACCTGCTTCAGTAGCGTATCGGATGTTTGTGTTAATAAATACTTATTTTAACTTATCTATTTTTATTAGAATTACATATTTTTATAACAATTTTAATAACTACCAACATTTATTCACAACGTAAAATAAAACAACAAATTATTGAGTCTACCCCACGTCTACCCTACATCATAGTTTTACATTTTTTAAATAAAATTAGAACGACACTGATAAACCGGATTTAAGTCGGCCATATTTGAGGCCCATCGCGGTGACCTTTGAATAAGAAGACTAAGAAAGGAGCATATCAAAAATCTTAGGTACACCGCGATGGGCCTCAAATATGGCCGACTTAAATTCCGGTTTATCAGTGTCGTTCTAATTTTATTTAAAAAATGTAAAACTATGATGTAGACGTGGTGTAGACTCAATAATTTGTTGTTTTATTTTACGTTGTGAATAAATGTTGGTAATTATTAAAATTGTTATAAAAATATATAATTCTAATAATAATAGATAAGTTATAAGTATTTATTAACACAAACATCCCATACGCTACTGAAGCAGGTAAGTCAAATTAACGTATCTAAATTCTTTGACATCTAATCTTTGACAAGTAATAAATAAAAGCTAAAATGCAAGAAAAATATAATTTAGTTAATTTAAGTGAATTTCATAAATGATGTTTACTACACGTATGTATATTATATAGTCACTTACTAGCGAAAAGTTGTTCCATTATTTCACTCAATTTTTGCCGAGATCTACCGCACGCGGTACACAACTATGTTTACCAGAGTTTTTTTCGATAAATCACGACTAGTAATCACTGTTAATTTAAGTTCTGCCACAATTTCCATCTAGATTTACTACCTTTATAGAACTATCAGTAGTAGAATAAATAATAAATAACATAAAATAAGCTCCGTAAAGACTGACAAATCCACAAAATTTCAAATCAAATTCAAATGTGTCAAATGAATCGTCAAACAGAACTGTCATGGATCCCCACCCTAAAGTGCTTTTTCCGCCCACCATGCATGAATACATGGATAGCATTATGCTCCTTCCTTAGTCTTCTTATTCAAAGATAGCAGCGTACATCCAGTGTATCCGGTCCAATGGATCCTGTCATGTTAAGTTGCACCCAAAATTCCAAACACACGTGCTTTGATTAAGGTTTGCAGAGTTTCAGCATTTGCCATAAAATAGCGAGCAATTTGTTACAAAACCATATAAATTATATATCACTGTAATCACCAAACTTCAATCTATTTGCGTATTGTAACGGAATTTTAAATTACGTCTTTATTTTCGAGAAAATTTAGTCCAAATATAAGGAATATTTTGTTGATGTTTGACCATAAAATCTTAAAAATAAAAAATTTGTCTAAAATGTGCTACAATACGGATATAATATAATCCTTTACATAGTTGGATAACAAATTGTGTCTAGGTGTAAGATGATCTAAGATTTTTTTTAAATAGACTGAAATAGTGAATTTTTTTTTTGTTTCAAAGGACTTTTTGGCTACAATAATGGAAGCAGGAGGTTGTACGGAGCCTCCCGAAGAAAACATGGGACCGGATGCTTTTTACGTGGAAGAGGCTCAAGCCACGTTGGCTCACGTCCAAGAGCTAGGCTTGAGCGTTGTGGCTCAGCGCTGTTTGCTGGCTAATGGTGGCTATGAAGTAGCCGCTCCCACCCCCTCACCTAACAAGCGAAAAAACGACTTTATAGGTAAAGTATTCGTCCTCGTCAGGGTTGGGTAGGTAGAAAATTTTATATTTGCTACACGTAGAAAATTAATTTTATTATTTAAAATTTATTTCCTACAATCTTTACATGTCCAGACTTAAAAAATTTGTTTTGTATATTGTATGTTCCCAGATTTTATACATTTTCTATATAATATTCTACATTTTTACGCACTTTTCTACGTACACGTAGAAAATTAATATTCTACGCGTCGTTACCCAACCCTGGTTCTAGTATTTATAGATTAATAATTTTTATTTTTTTTTGAATGAATACACTATCTAATATAGAAAAATTCGTGAGTGTTGAGAAGGCTAAAAAGAAAACAATTATATTTTGTACGCCTTGTACAGGGTGGCTCGAATTCCACGCTCATCATTGGGATTTCGGAAACCGTAAGAGATGGAGGATCGGTTAAATGGAGGCAAAGTTGCGCAATTTGATGCTGAATAAAATGCCGTATTGCATTTTGAAAAATTCCGAATATATTCGAAAAAAAAAACCCGGTATTTTCAATTTTGTTTTCTATTGTTTCCTGGCTTTATTTGTTAAGATAACTTAAAATGAAAAAAACATTATCATGGCCACTCTTTCTGCTCCATAGCTCTGTGTGATTAAATATCGACTCTGACGTTTCGGCTTCTGGCGACCATCATCAACTTAATTTTTTCAAATACGGATCTGATTTTTTTTCAATTTAATTAAATCCTTTCATCACTGTTAAAACACTATATATAGTCACTTTGATATTTGCCGACGTTTCGTACAGAAAATTCCATCACCAGAATATTCTATGCTAAAAAAAAATAAAAATTCAATACGGCATTTTATTGAGCATCAAATTGCGGAACTTTGCCTCCATTTAACCGATCCTGTATATCTCTTACGGTTTCCGAAATCCCAGTGATGAGCGTCGAATTCGAGCCACCCTGTACAGTAGGCACTTTAATATCTAGGAGCACTGAATTTCTCTAAACCTACCTCCCCCATGGTACTCAGGGATTCCCCGGGCAGTACCAAGAAGAACGAGGTAACGTCCATTCTGAAAAGAAGAAACGTCGAACAGCATCTGTCTCAAGAGGAGGCGTACGACTTGTACTCTGAGGAATCAGGGAGTCAGGCTTATAGTGAGACCAGTGACGATTCTGGTAGTAGAAGGACACGTCAAAAGTACGACTCGAACGACGAAGAGTCAGATTTGGACGAATTTGGGGTAAGATTCGTGTTTTGTACGTGTAAAAATAGTTCTTTACGTGTAAAAATAGTTTTTTCCGTGTAAAAAATAGTTTTTACGTTTTAAAATAGTTTTTAAACTGCAAAAAATAATTTTTTACGTGTAAAAAATAATTTTCTACGTTTAAAAATTAGTATACTACTTGGAAATATAGTTTTTACGTGTAAAAATGGTTTTTAGGTGTAAAAATACAATATAATCGAAAAAACGGCGTCAGCGATGACTATGAAATGAAAACGTGTAAAAAATTGTTTTTTACATTTAAAAATAATTTTTAAACTGTCAAAAATAGCAAAATAAAAACACTAAATCACCACAATACACCAAAACAATTTTACTTTTACACTGGACGCGCGTTTCGCTTATCATGTTAGCATCATCAGCAGATGATTATAAACTAAAGTACAATCTACAAGTTGAGCGTTTATATACTCACTCAGTGGACACCGAGTGGGCGTGGCAAAGTCTAGCCAACCGAGTCAGAGCCCACTGAGCGTAACAGTTAGATTTCCGCTACTAGAGTAGTAGGAACAAGGAACTTGAAGGAATTGGACCGTTGTCTCTGTTCATACTATCTCTACATTTATTAATTCTGATGCTTTCATATACATCTAATTGCCTGTAATTTGAGACTTGTTTAATTAATTTTAAATTATTAAGATCTATACAATGTTCTTTATCAACAATATGTTCGGCAACGCAAGATTTATCCGGTCTACCATATCTTATCTGAGCTAATGAGAGCTGGCTTGGCTCTGACTCGTTTGGCTAGATCTTGCCACGCCCACTGAGCGAGTATATAAACGCTGAACTTGTAGATTGTATTTTAGTTTATAATCATCTGCTGATGATGCTAACATGGTTAGCGAAACGCGCGTCCAGTGTAAAAGTAAAAGTGTTTTGGTGTGTTGTGGTGATTTAGTGATTTTATTTTGCTGTGTCACACCAAAGGTTCCAACCCTCAACTGTAATGTCAAAAATAGTTTTTTTCTTGTAAAAAATAGTTTTCTACGTTTAAAAATTAAGTTATTACTTATAAATTAGTTTTTTACGTGTCAAATAGTTTTTTTACGTGTAAAAATACACCATAATCGAAAAAAAAACGGCGTCAGCGATGGCTATGAAATGAAAACCGCTTTCGCTTTATATTAAAATTATACAGGGTTCGGCAATAGTGCGTCGGGCATGTGTAGCTCCTAGAATAAAAAACTTGGGAATTTTGTTTGTTGGGAAGTATGTACTAGGATGTATTTCAGGAAAATATTTTAACTTCTACAAGGTGTTTTAAAAAAGTGTGAGTGGATCGGGATGATTTTTTTTAATGGAACACCCTGTATATTATTGCATTTTTGGCTTTCTTTCAGATCACTTTACATAATCCTATAATAAGATTTGAGTAAATATATTTCAATAGTTTCAGAGATATTAATAAATAAATAAAGAAAAATATATATTTTTCGGCTTTTTTTTAAATGAATTGAAATCAAAACTATATTAGGTATTTACTTTAGATGGTTTGTACTTACTTTGCTATAAATATGGTGATCGTAAATCATACAGGACGTTCAAAATTCTACGCCAAACTTTCTAAAATATATAATATTTTTTCTTCGTTTTCTAAAATGGAACACCCTGTATATTATTGTTTTATTAGATGGAGAGCTAAAAAATCTATATTTTTTGTGTGGTTTCGCAGATATACGCAGTATTATTTTATATGGCTTTTTCAACGATAAAATACCAGAGAAAAATCATTGGGTGACTGTATAGAGAATATCATCGATGTTCATTTCCAAGCCAACTAGACGCCGTTTTTTTTTCGATCATAAGGTAGCTTTTTGCGGCGCGTAAAAAATAGTTTTTAACCTGTAAAAATAGTTTTTAGGTGTAAAGATATTTTTTTTACGCGTAGAAAATAGTTTTTTACGCGTAAAGAATATTTTTTTACGTGTAAAAAATTCCAGGGTAGCAGCCAGATAAGCGGAAGCAGTTTCGACGTGTCCGAGGTCAGACAGGCGTTGTTGTCAGATCTGGGGGAGTACACCCCAGCTCAGATCACTACGGGGCCTCACAACGTGCTCTATCACTTTGTTCACTTGGATTTGACAGAGGGCGTCCTTATCGGGCCTGTCGAATGTTCCACGCTGTCACAAACCTATGACGTCATTCTGAACAACTTCAAAAAGTGCTGTCAAAACATACACGGCATTTTTCAGAATACGCTACGTTTTAAGGTACCTAAACCTTTTTTTAACCTGTCAAAAAATGAAGTTAATCTAGTGGGCAGCTGTAATTTTTTTAGGAAAAAATCTAGTCGGCCGCTGTCACTTTTTAGGATGTTTCTAATATTGTTTTATTTGACATTGCCCTACTGCAATACGTTATTATCTAGATTATTATTATTATCATTATTATCACTAGATTCTTAATCTAAAAATATTTTTAGACTTGACATGTAATGCTTTACATTTTATTTTTTAATTTCAAATCGGTGAGTTTTATAAAAAAAATACAAGAGATAAAAAAGTTTCTAAACAAACTAAACTATCCAAATTAATTTTTTTGCATGTGTTTGATAAGATTTTTCTTTAAATTTCGTTAACAAGAATGATAGGGGTAGTTTATTTCAACCCCTTCCACTCATTTTAAAAAAGTGAAAAAATTACCAGAAAGTGTGTTTCCATAACAGTAATGCTTCCATAAAATTTCATTAGTCTATCTCTTTTCGTTTTCAAGATAAAAAATAAGAACATTATTTTTCCGCCATCTTTGTACGCGATATCTCCCTAATGGTTGACTTTTGACCCAACGTTTATGAAGCAAACTACCCTTTATTTTGAACAAGGAATCCCCCTGAAGTTTTTTCGCATTTGTTTTGAACACCCTGACCAGCGCTCCACAGTGCGGCGGATGGTATTCTAGCGGGACAAAATCTCAAGAGCAATGTTTGGGACTTAAAATCTAAGAACGTAGCAAATGGTCTAATATATAGCAACTATATGGTTAAATTTATTTATTTATTAACAACTTAATTTATTAATAAATGAATACAAGATAATAAAACTATGATATTATTCGTACATGACACACAAAAACAGTATTTTAAACTATTGCCAAATACATAAAATTATGATATCAGGTGAAATACTTACAAAAAACTCTTTAGCAGTTATTTTTTAATTACTTTGTAATCTTGTGACACCCTCTATATTTTATTTTATAAAATTATATTTTATTTTAAAAATAATAATTAAGATAGATATTTTAATTTTAATTTTAACACTCGGTAATTGTAAATTCATATATAGTAAGTATCTAAGACAATTTTTTAAACTCAGTGCCTTTTGATGGAGTTGTTTTGTTTTTATACTATCCGATTGAAATGAATCTTTTTGGGCATTCACCTGTTAAGCTTGAACTCCCTGTGACTGTGACTACCTGTGTTGGTAACTATTGGTAACTCAAAAGATCTACATCATTCAATATATCGATATTTGAAAAAAAGCGAAAGTTAGATATCTGCAGAACAAAGGCACGAAGGATTTTAACAAATAATATACGTACAGTAGAAAAGTACATACCTTTGGCAATCTTCAACATAATTTGGCTTTCTAATAAAATGTATAAGCACTTGTAAATATTTTGTTCTCGTATGATCTCTGCCTTGCTGAGCAGAAAACGACCAAATTTGGTTGATAAAAATGTATCGAAATACAAAGAATATTCGTGCATTTTTGTATCAATTGGAATGTCTACTATTTATTCTTAACAGTACACATTTTTTGGCTTATTTCTAACCAAACGCTTTTGTCCCGCTAAATTTATCTTCCAACGCACTGTGCGCTCGTCCGTCAAATGCAAAAATAGCTGTCACTGTCTAAAATCTTTAGCGCCAACTTCAACTCGGTCCCTAGATGACGTAAAAAAACTGACAGTGCAGGAAGATAGGAATCGAACTATCCTTATCTCTATAGTATCCTTGAGTCAAGGCGACTTTTTTTTAATCGTTTTTTTTAATTTTTACATATTTATTTTTACTTTTTACATATTTATTATTGATTAATACAATTTTTAGTAATGTGTTTCTTCATTTTTTTTAAATTACTTATACGCACATTTCAGCTAAATCGGAAAAAAAGTTTATAATAATATAGTATCTAATGTTGTATAGATAATGAATGGTACAGAACCTTTCTTTCGTACAGAACCGTCTCGCATTTGACCATTTTTTTTTTCGATCGTATGGTACTAATTAATATATTATTTATTTTCCAGAACATGTCAGCTCAGGAAATAGCCAAAAGCCTGATGAATAAAAGTCTGATAGCCATCAAAGAGTACGGTACCCTCTTTGAGTGTCCCTTCCTCGATGAAAAGGACAAAAAGGGACGGGTATCTTACTGGGTGGTTGGAAGACTTTTTTACATGCCCCACCCCAAGGAAGTATACGTGTGTTATCAGGATTCCGTGCCCCAAAACGTGGTGGAACTGGCTTTTAAAATCAGCCTGTATAATAAAGTGTGAAGAAGGTTTTTATTTGACAGAGTTTGAAGGTGTAAATATGCAAAAAAAAATGGAGAAAAATAACCTGAGGATGATTATAGAGAGAAATATCAGAGGTTAATAGAGAATTTTGTGTCCTAAGACCATAAAATATTGTGAAAAATGGTGAACAAGTTATATCTCGCTGTGAAATTCACATTTTTTCGTGTTAAAACTATTTTTTACACATAAAAAACTGTTTAAAAATAAATAAAAAATATTCTGAATTTTTGCACATAAAAAACTGATTTTTCTAGGTAATAAAAGTAGTTTTTTACGTGTAAAAAATAGTTTACTACGTAAAAGAAATAGTTTTTTACGCGTAAAAAATGACAATTAACGTTTATAGAAACTAGTTTCTTTTTTCGACATAAAGTACTATTTTTTTGCGTAATAAAAGTAGTTTTTTACGTGTTAAAAATAGTTTACTACGTAAAAGAAATAGCTTTTTACGCGTAAAAAATTATAATTAACGTTTATAGAAACTAGTTTCTTTTTTCGACGTAAAAACTATTTTTTACACATAAAAAACAATTTTTTTTTCGTAATAAAAGTTGTTTTTTACGTGTAAAAAATAGTTTACTACGTAGAAGAAATAGTTTTTTGGCGTGTAAAAAATGACAATTAACGTCTATAGAAACTAGTTTCTTTTTTCGACGTAAAAACTATTTTTTTACACATAAAAAACTTTTTTTTGCGTAATAAAAGAAGTTTTTTACGTGTAAAAAATAGTTTACTGCGTAGAAGAAATAGCTTTTTTTGCGCGTAAAAAATGACAATTAACGTTTATAGTTTTTTTTTCCACGGAAATAACTATTTTTTACACATAAAAAACTAATTTTTCTACGTAATAAAATATTTTTTTTATTTAAAAAACTTACTACGTAGAAGAAATAGTTTTTTTGCGCGTAAAAAATGACAATGTTTATAGAAACTAGTTTCTTTTTTCGACGTAGAAAGCTATTTTCTACACATAAAAACCTAATTTTTCTACGTAATAAAAGTAGTTTTTTGCGTGTAAAAAATAATTTACGATGTAGAAGAAATAGTTTTTTTGCGCGTAAGGAATGACAACTAACGTTTACAGAAACTAGTTTCTTTTTTCGACGTAAAAACTATTTTTTACACATAAAAAACTGTTTTTTGCGTAATAAAAGTAGTTTTTTACGTGTAAAAAATAGTTTACTATGTAGAAAAAATAGTTTTTTTCCGTATGAAAAATGACAACTAACGTTTACAGAAACTAGTTTCTTTTTTCGACGTAAAAACTATATTTTACACATAAAAAACAATTTTTTTTCGTAATAAAAGTTGTTTTTTACGTGTAAAAAATAGTTTACTACGTAGAAGAAATAGTTTTTTTGCGTGTAAAAAATGACAATTAACGTGTATAGAAACTAGTTTCTTTTTTCGACGTAAAAACTATTTTTTTACACATAAAAAACTATTTTTTTGCGTAATAAAAGTAGTTTTTTACGTGTAAAAAATGGTTTACTACGTAGAAGAAATTGTTTTTTTTTGCGTAAAAAATGACAATTAACGTTTACAGAAACTAGATTCTTTTTTCGACGTAACAACAATTTTTTTACATATAAAAAACTATTTTTTTTGCGTAATAAAAGTAGTTTTTTACTTGTAAAAAATAGTTTATTACTACGTAGAATAAATAGTTTTTTGCGCGTAAAAATGACAATTATTAACGTTTATAGAAACTAGTTCTTTTTTCGACGTAAAGTACTATTTTTTTACGCGTAAAAAACTCATTTTTACAATGAAAACACTTTTTTACGCATATTTTTTCTACGTCCGCAGTTATAGAAAAAAATATGAATTTATATCACTACATTTCGGCATTTTATTGACCAGCCTGCATAATAAAAAAAAGCCATAAAATAATGAAAAAAAATGGTGAACGAAATATGTCTCGCTTCGAAATTCACTTTTTTACGTGTAAAAATTATATTTTACACATAAAAAACTAATTTTTCTACGTCCTAAAAGTATTTTTTACTTGTAAAAAATAGTTTACTACGTAAAAGAAACAAACGCACGAGTATAAAAAATGTAAATTTTTACACAAAAAACTCAATTTTCAAAGTAACAAAAGTAGTTTTTTATGTGTATAAAGTAGTTTATTAAGTGTATAAAATAGTTTTTAAGATGTGTAGGAACTAGATCTTTTTCGATAAAAAAAAATAATTTTTTACACGTAAAATATATTTTTGTCACGTAAAAAAATACTTTTTACGTTTTATAAAAACGTAAAAAACCTACGTCCACAGATTAGTAATGCTTCTTTAAAAACGCTTTAAACTGTTAAGGAACATTGCTGAAAAGAAATTTTAATTTATTTCACTATAATTTTAACCATCTATGATTTTGACTACGTCTTCTGGCAATTAAAAAATGTATTAAAAAAATATATGTAGGGATTGACCAGACAGAAATTATTACCGATTATTACTTCAAAGGCTACCGTGACGTCGTTTTTTTTTCTCGATCAAACAGTAAACAGTTTGTATTTATTTCAGAATAATAGGACATCCTGTATAATTCTTTAGTAAATCAACAATTTTATCTCATTTAAGGGGATTGTTGTATCGTTAATAAATACAGAAAAAAAATGATATAGTTTATTTATATTAACAGTTAACAACGAATAAAGTGTAATAAAATTTATAAATACTTTTAGGCAACATTTCTAGTGAAAATATTATTGTAATTTTTTAGTCTCTAAATAAAAAAGTCAAGGATATTAAAAAAAAGCATAAAAAATCACAATATTATGAAGGTATAGTTTGTATTAAACATCCTCACTGTCCATACTGTCATCTGGAATGGGTTCAATGGATTCAAACACAAATTTTAAGACTCCACCAGCAAATTTGCTGCCATAGTGACCCGCCCAAAACTGGGTATCTTTACCCTGATGCCGAAAATACAGGGCATTTATATCTTTAGGGTAATCCTTCCATTCAATTTCAACCTGCAGAAAAAAACTTATAAATAAAAAATTTGATTTCTTTCAATACATTTTCTGTAGTTAAATCAGCGCCTTAAAATCGTCTACAGGGTGGCTCATTAGTGCGAGGAAGTCAAGTCAGTAAGATATAAAAATATGCGAATATCTGCAAAACTGTTAAAAATTTAGGAACACTTTAAATAGAAAAAACGTTCACTGTTTCATTCTGCATCTAAGCGAAAAATAATATACAGGGTGTTGCGTTTAAAAAACACGAGATATAGCATTTTAAACATTGCGATGTTGGCGACGCCATAAAAATACCCTGTATAAGGTAATGTAAGTTTTCCTTAGTGGATTTATTCTGTTCCTAGGTATTTTGAGAAAATATAACTAAGTATTATTAACTAATACTTTTTCAGATATAGATTTAGTGTTTTTAACAACAAAGTTTCAGTAAATATGAAATAGAATGGCAACACTGCATAGTGCTTCAAATAAAAATAGTGTACAATAATATGCAGAATTAAAATTTTATAATAACAAAGATATCCTTCACTTCCTCACACTAATATGGGCCACATAATACAACACAACATACCTTCGTCCATTGTGGGTTTGAAAATTGCTGAATAATACCCACTTCCATTTTATAATTGACAGAAGGTTCTTCTCTATCAAGAGAGCCCCCAGGAAATTGTTGGTTGTAGGAAAAATGGTGATCGGACTTTTGTAACAAATCCCTAGCGCTTTCAACAGGGGTTTCACAAATCACATAGAGCCTGTACACACTTCCACAGTCGAACCTGCCACAATACCATTCACTGGCGTAGATTTTTGGGGTGTATTTCTTTATAATATACGATAGAAGATGTTTTTTGGCTATATCTATTATCTGAAAGCGATAGAAGAGAAAAAATAGTTCAAAATTAGTAAAAAGATCACTACTTACTTGGTATTTAGTACACCAGTGGTAAGATGTTGTAAAACAACTGGCACAGTTATTAAATTCAGGAATATCTAAATTTAGAGGATCACATCCGCTTGGGATATCTTCAATTATAATTCTATCACCTCCATTTGCCGTTATGCTCCAGTGCTTAAATTTTTCTTGCCCATTACCATTCTTAATTAGATTTTTAAAATTGTCTGTAGTAAAATAACAGTAAAACACATACCAAGGCAGATTTTTCGCTTTTTTTGGAAATTCTCTTTCGTTATAGATATGCTGCCACAAAGTATTAGATTTAGCTAAATTACACCAATATTTACATACTAACGAACAGTTCAGAATCTCTCTAGGCTCCAAATATGAAAATATATTAAGTATTATTTCTTCAGGAAGTAGAATGTTGTTCAGGATTGCACCATTTAACGAATCATCTTCTATAGTAAACTGACCGTGAAATTCCATGTTTTCTGGAGATTCAGGAGTTAGATCGCCTCTTATTATTTTTATTATAGGCTTAAGAATATCCATAGTCTTCTTATTCCATCAAACGAAGTCTCTTAAGTGTGTGTCTACTGTTTAATTTAGAATATGACTCATAACAAAGGTGTATTTGTCGGTAAATATCATATTTACATTGAGAAGAATGGATAGGTGCATTCTAAAATTACCAATAAAGGTCCTGATTTTATCACTCTACAAATACAGTTTAAAATAAATATTTGTCTATCCAGATTTTATTTATTTATGTCTCTGTTTGCGTATATTTGTTCGTTTAGATTTCTTAGGTTATATTTTTAAATGGTGTTGTCAAAGTCAAAATTTTTATAACCACTGATCATAGATAGAGCCGTTAGAAAGGAATCTGTAATTGATGTATATTTGGTTGCATACATTATATTTTGTTTGGTTAGAATTTTCCAAGAATTTTCTAACTAAATTAGAAATTATTTCAAAATTTTCAAAGCAGATAATTTAAAGTGGACGGATAAGGTATTTATAAAATACAGCCATGCCAGAGAAAAACGCTATCGTGCTATTGGCAGAAATACGAGACCTTAAACAACAGCTAAAGGAAAAAGAACAGGAATTATCAGCATTACTAGCAACTCAGAAAGATTCTGTTTTGGTACGTTTGATTTATCCATAATATAGCATTAAATCAGGGATGTTTTATTCTAGGAAAATAAGTACTGTAACAATGCTTTGTCCGCTGAAGAAATTACTCGGTACAGTAGACAGGTACTTGTGCCAGAAATAGGTATAGACGGACAAGCTTTACTAAGAAATGCAAAGGTACTAGTAGTAGGTGCAGGAGGTCTCGGATGCCCTGCAAGCGTGTATCTGGCAAGTTCTGGAGTAGGTCAACTAACAATAGTTGATTATGATGAAGTGGAGCTTTCAAATTTACACAGACAGATATTGCACAGTGAAGATGATATAAATCGACCGAAAGTTGAGTCTGCTTACGATAAATTACACAGTATAAACAGATCTATAAAAGTTATACCTTTAAAGTTACACGTAGACAGTGATTCAATAAAGAAACTACTTGGCAGCAACAAATATGATGTTGTGGTTGATGGAACTGATAATGTAGCCACGAGGTATCTTCTTAATGATGCCTGTGTCTTGAACGGGATACCTTTGGTATCGGGAAGTGCATTGCAACTCGAAGGTCAATTGACAGTTTACAATTACAAAGGGGGTCCATGTTATAGGTGTCTGTTTCCAGTGCCTCCTCCTCCGGAAACTGTGACGAGTTGTGGAGATGGTGGAGTGTTAGGCCCTGGTATGGTATTACATTATACAGGGTGGCGCCTCTCATATGACGCGGAGGCTTTGAGGAGAACGATAGTTTGTATTCAAATGAAATTTATGGAGGTTATGAAAGTTAGTTTAAGATAGAATTTGCAAAGTTGTGTTTTTTAATGAGACACCCTGTATATTAATTGATTGACAATGGTTACTTTAACTGCATATCAGGCTATACAGGGTAAATTATAATTATTTAGGTAGGTTTTATGGAAATTAAAAATTTGTTTTTAATTTTAGGAAATGTTAAATATTTCAAAATCCTTACATTTCAGTAATATTCCTCTCTAATAAACTCACCTTTATTTTCTTAGAATCCAAAAATCAATTAAAATACAGGGTGTGCCATTACAAAAAACAAAACTTTAATGCCTAACTTTTTTTGGAGACACCCTGTAGAACTCTATATATTCTTAAAAAATGCTTTAAGTTAACCTGCATAAGCTCACAAAGTTTTATTTCAATTCAAATTACCGTTCTCCTTATACAGGGTGATTTATACAATATTTCCATAAAACAAGCTCATATTTTTTTAGTCCCCGGTATAATAGGGGTGTTACAAGCCTTAGAAACAATTAAAATCATCACAAATTCGCCCGGAGTACTATCCGGAAGACTTCTTTTGTTTGACGGTTCCAGGACCAAATTCCGGGACATAAAACTAAGACCTAGAAACACGGAATGTAACATGTGTGGTGATGATCCAGTTATCAAAGATTTGGTAGATTATGAACAGTTTTGTGGCGCAGCTGCTCACGATAAAGTACGATATATGCTTAAAAAAAAATTGGCGTCCCAGTAACCTTTGAGAAAAAAATATTCGAGGGCTATTCGACGCCGTTTTTTTTTCGTATGTTTTTAAACGAAAATTTTAGGTTATTAATATAGATATTTTGGAAAATAAAGAGCACGTTAATGTCGAGGAATTTTCTAAAAAGTTAGGAAAGCGTTTGGTGCTTGATGTAAGGCCTGTTATACAATTTCAAATGTGTGGGCTTCCTAAATCGTATAATTTTCCGTATGACTGCATAGACAAACAGGAAAATTTGGAAAAATTGCGACATCTAATAAAAGAGGAAAATTCTGACTTAAAAGATGGTATTTTTAAGGTTTTTGAAATTGTTTTTTTTTGTTAAAAAATATTTTTTAGTGTATGTTATATGTCGAAGAGGTAATGATTCACAAAGGGCAGTGAGGAAACTCAAAGAAAACTTGAGTGATTTGCCAGTGAAGTTTTTCAGTGTCAAAGGGGGTTTGCAGGAATTTTCCAGAAAAATTGATCCTGATTTTCCAGTGTTTTAGACACTTTTATGGCATTTTTGTACTTATTTGTGCACTTGCTTTACGTCGTGTACTTATTTGTGCTTTCAAATATTTTTCTGTATTTTTTTAATAAATTTTTAACGTAATTTTTCCAAAAAATTATTCATTTAAGTAAATTCCTTCACCATTTTGTCAAGAAATCATATATTAGAATAAAATTATTTTAAAACCACTTTATTGTGTTTAATTCAAATATATCATTATTTCTTAATAATAATGATGTGTACAGAAACTTTATTTAAATTTTAATTACAGTTACATATATAGAAGTTATTGCAATAATATTCATAATTAAATAATTTTTTTAAGGAATTTGGTATCACAGACTAATTTATAATACCAGTACAAAAATTCGGTTATTTATAGAAAAAAATATAATATGTATTTACAATAATACAATAAAGAATCATTATTTATATTTTTTATAAAAATAAATTTAATGTTAAATATAGTATACAGATTTATGCAACCAGATATACAACTTCGTATTTTGGGTTACCTAACAATAGAAATTTAAATGTTTTTTTATTAAATTTCGAAATAAAATAGTACCTCAGACAAAAACCAGTCAAACGTTTCTAAAAATTACTGAAATATTGTGATATTTTATTAACATAACGCTTTCTTTAATATTTACATTATATTACAGTTTTTTAAAGTGATTTAAAAAAGTATTTCTCCTTTATACGTACGGGTACTACTACTCTAGTTTAAAATTAAATATATATTCTTTAGTAATATACGGGTAAATTTTATAACAATTATTATCAAGATATCGACCTAAATCAAGAAGTTTCGCGCCGATAAGGTATCAGTACCCTAGATGATCGTACCACTCTCACTATCGCACAGTCCCAGTCCAAAACATGATGCTCCAGACGTCTGATCGACGTGATTTTGACCCCTGTTCCCTGATAACGTCGCTGATCGTTCGTCAAGACATTGATAGTACTACAGATAGGCATAGTAGCACCGGCCAGCGAGTATGACGAAGTCCGCGTGCATCCAGTCGATTTCTGTTTGGAATCAGGCCCATATCCACCTGTTTTCCTTCTTGTTCGGTTTCTGGGTACTGTCCAAGAGGCTGGTACGATGGTTGTGGAGGCCGCAGGACTCTGCGGAGCTTAGGGCAAGAGATACGCCGCCTGCGTGTCTGGTGGACTCGTCTTTGGGACAACATAAGCACGTCAAATTGAAGGTGAGTGAATGATATATATTATGGTACTACCATTACTACAAATAAGTAGTACTGAACGTGTTGGGATTTAAATAAACTGATATTTTTCAACGGAATATTGATCTAGTAAATGGGTTAAGTATTAAGTATGTGTTTACTAATTTGTTTTACCGTTATTGTTTATTATATACAGGGTGTGTAACTGTATCTGTATACGTGCACAAAAAATAAAAAGAGTTAATTCAATTTGAAATTGTAACATGCGGTTCATAACGACAATTTGACTCTAAATACCATGAGTGTGGTACCAAATTATTCGTAAAAAAATGCTTTTTCCAAATATGCTAATGAGCTACCCTTGTTCCATTTGAAAAAATTGAAATATAATTAAAAATACAATCTTTAAACCGACCAGGAAAAGACACGAAAAACATTAGACGATCAAATATATTTTTCTAAGGCTCCTTGATTAAAAACTAGTGTTTTTAACACAGCCATGGCACACTAGATTGAAATTTAACATACGATTTTTTAAGCGAAAATGTCAAAAGTTGACATATGATATGTTATTCTACTCAGAGTGTCATTTTCTATGGAATAAACTAAAAATATGGGGTGCCGTTTAAAAATTAAAAGTTGTAGTCATTTCCGGAGAATCAGGAAATTACCAAAAACAAAATCTAATGTCGTTTTTTATCTGAAAAAATAAAAAAGGTATAGGTGAGCCATTTTCGAGACGCGCCTGGTATAGTTAAAAATATCCTAATGAATTTCATAATGAGTTTTTTTCACAGGATGAGTAAATTGAGAAATAATGATTGATTATATCGGGTATAGGAGGTAATAATCTTTTAGCAATTATATTTTTTGTTTTTTATATGAATTTATGTATAGACGATCAATGAAAAATTTGTATGTATGGAATTCAAGGGAAAAGCCTAATTAATTTACATAATATTTCATAAAATATTAAAGTTATTTTACTTAACTTTGACGTAATTTTTGGAAAATTCCGCTATAAACATATTGCAAAATTATAATAAACTTATTTTTTTATATTATAAGATTGAAAACTAAATAATTAAACGTTGAAATTGCTTTTAGTTATTTTTAATTTAAAATTTACATTAATTTTTAATTTGACTTAACTGTGAAAATTTTTATTCTTCTCTATTATTTGAGATATTTTTTTTTCTGTGTCATAAACCTCCTAATTGGGGACATCTTGTATTATATAGTTTGTAGAAAAATGTTGATACATCAAGTACAAATACAGATTAGTAAATATATGATTCAATTTCTAAAAAGTACTTCAAACAATTAAGAATACAAAGTACATCAGAATATATAAAGCATTTGTTATTTTTACGTTCACAGTCTGTACAAAACATACATACAAAAAAATTCAGACATTTTAGGAAATTCATTTGAAATTTTGAAAATAATTTTTTCCGTTCGCAGTTTTATATAACTATTCCAAAAAATTATATCAGAGATACAAATAAAATATTTTTATATAAATTTTTGATAGTCAAAAAATCTAATTCATTTTAATTCAAATATAAAATAGTTTACTCTGTTTTAATCATTGTATATTTCATAATATATGGTATAGAGGATATATTGAGACATATTTAACAATTTCGCGCATTTTGGCTGAACTAATTGATAAATGCATTCATATCTTTTGACTTTTGTGACACCAAAAACAACACCAGATATAAATAAACACCTGTGGTGTAAGAGAACACACGTATACAGGGTGATGTAACCTGAAAAGTTTGATGCGGATATGGATGAATTTCAGTACTGTCATCGGAAGGAGTAGAGCCAGGCATAGTTGGCAAATGTGAAGGCTCTTGGGGATGTAGAGTAAGTACCAGTCAAGCCCAATGAATGTGATCCAAGTAAATGCATCATATATGACGTAATCTTACAATAAACAACAATGTGTCTAATTTTTCAGTTACTTACTTTGAGTTCCATATTTACTCTTTTAAGAAGCTTTTTATAACACTCTTTCTGATGTTTCCAGGGTGTCAAACTTCACTACGTTGAGGCAGGTTCCAAAGACAACCCTGTGGTACTTCTCCTGCACGGTTTCCCGGACTTTTGGCTCAGCTGGCGGTACCAAATTCCAACCTTATCCAGACACTTCCGCGTTATAGCCCTGGACCTCAAAGGTTTCGGCGATTCCGACAAACCAGCTTGGAGAAGCAGCTATAAAATCGACACAGTCCTGGAAGAATTAACTCAGTTTGTTTACTCTTTGGGTGTGTCAAGTTGTACAGTGATTGGACACGATCTTGGAGCTTTGTTGGGGTGGTACTTAGTGCACCAAAACTCTTCTATTGTGAATAAGTTTGTTTCTGTGTCTTGCCCACATCCTAACGTCTACTGGAATGCTTCCAAGAGTGTCAAGTGGTTGAATTACGTTCAATTACCTTATCTTCCTGAAATAGATGCTCTGAAAGAGGACGTGAAGATTATAGATCAATATTTTAAGCATCTGGGACCTAAAGATGTTGATGCGTATAAGTACACGTTCTCGCGCCAGGACGATTGGACTGGACCGTTGAACTACTACAGGAACTTGCCTCTGTCCAAGATCAGCGAGCCATTGAAACAAGTCCAAGTTCCTGTGGTGCTTGTGGTGGGAAGCAAGGACCCGTTTGTCCATCTGGAAACCGTAGTAAAGTCCACAGAGTTCTGCGAAACCTTTCGACTTCAAATTGTGGACGATTGTGGCCATTTTCCTCACCAGGAAAACCAGCAAGCTTTCAATAGTCTTCTAGTTAAACATTTGGTGGATAGTAGGAGGTCTTCGGCGGTGGACGGGGGGAGTGTGACCTCCCCGTCGAAACGCCTGATTAGTGGACTGTTTGGTGCCGTGTCCAACACGGTAAAGTACGGCAACACTGTGATCGGGAATGTGCAGAAAAAAACTAATGATGTGGTAAACAGCATTCCCTCTTTTAATCTCAACTATAACAACTCATCGTCTCAGAGCTGATCATGTGTGATTGTTTTTTATAGCTCTTATTTATTTATATACGTCTTTTTTATTGTTATTTGTTGTTTTATATGTTAGTATAAACTATAATTTTATTATTTCTCGAGAAATTGTTTTTATTATTGGTCACATTGTCCTTTTCTTGTTAGAAGATGTAAGTACGTAAAAAAATGAAACTCTTATTATAAGTAAAATATATAAAAAAAAACGGAAATATTGTTTGTAAAATTTTAAGGAGATTGTATTTTTCTTGACATAATGGTGAATGCGTTTTTTTAAAAATCTTTTGGTAAAGAAACAGGAGGATTTTTTTTAAAAAATATTAATAATGGCAGGAAACAAAAATATATAAAATTTATGTACTTTTAAGATATTTATACGACTAAAAAAATATATTAGTCCAATCTTTTCGTAGATCTGGCTTTTTTAATGTTCTTATTAAAAAAATATATTAATAAATTATTTATTAACAAAACTAAATTATTCTTATTCTATAACAACAAAACATTCTTATTATTATTCACAGCTATGATGTACTATTTTGGCTATCACTTCTAGACAAAAACTGAACTATAACAATGAGATAAGCTATTATAGATGATACAACATATCCTAGCATACTGTGATTCACAGAAAAGAACCTTTTGGCTGTGATCGCGGTCTTTCTGAATGAACATTGCAACGCTAACTCACGTAAGTCTTCTGTGAGGTTCTTGTTTTGATCCCACTGTAGTCTATTCATTAATGACAGACATATATGACAGGTTTTTGAAGCTTCGTGTGAGACACTGTCACCACTTGTAGCCACTGACATGATTAACATCTAAAAAATAGATATACAAGGTGTTTCAAAAAATAATTCTTTCTTTGGGAGATTCGTTAAGTGAAAATAAGATTTATTTTTTATAAAATTTGAAATTTTGAAAATAAATAATACTCAAAAACGCTTCATGTAATGGATGCCTACTATACAGGGTGTCAAAAAAAGTGTATCTAACTTCGGTGGGTGATTCTACAGTTAAAAATAAAACAAATGGTGGTCCTATTTTTTATTCTTATAGAAAAAATTATTACCTAGATTAATTTATTTATCATTTCTTTACATTTTTTATCATTTCGCATTTATCGTTTTGAAACAAACGAAGAGCACCTTTTTTACGTTGAAAAGTCCTAGTCATTTGTTGAAATTACTCTATCTACAGGGTGTCCCACTTAAGATGGATACAAGCCAATATCTTGATTATTTGTTGAACGATATTTTATTAATATAACTGAATTACCACACTATAACAGAATTACCACACTATTTTTTTGACACTGTGTATATATTAATACAAAAAAATACTTACAAAAGGTAGTACGATTCCTGTAATACACTGGGCCAAGACATAGTTCTTTTTCAACCCAACCAATTCACTTTGAAATTCAAAATACACCAACAGCATCAGTACGTAGTGTATTATCAATCCAACCACCATGATGGTACCTACAAAGCAGACAGTACCAAAGACCTTGTTAAATGTGATGACCAACTCGTACAGGTTACTATGTAGTTTCTTCATGTCTTTTATTTGGACTTGGAGTTCTTTCATGTTGGTTTTTCCGTAGAACTTCAGAGTCGTGTTGAAAAGTTTGATGCGGATATGGATGAATTTCAGTACTGTCATCGGAAGGAGTAGAGCCAGGCATAGTTGGCAAATGTGAAGGCTCTTGGGGATGTAGAGTAAGTACCAGTCAAGCCCAATGAATGTGATCCAAGTAAATGCATCATATATGACGTAAACTACCATTAGAGTGAGGTAGAAGACAATTCCAAAGTATATTTTGGGTTTGAATGATTTGATATCGTATCCAAGTTTGTCGTCGATGTTTTGGAGCAACCAAAATATCTTCTTCAATTTTGTCCCTGAAATATTAAAGGTAATTTCTTATATCTTTAATATTTTTTTTTAAAAGGCTGAAGAAGAAATATATTTTTTTATTTATTAATATCTCTGAAACTATCAAAATATATTTAATATTACAAAACAAGTTATTGCCGGTTAAAGCTGGCAATTATTTAATATAAATTTCTAGACACTCTGTATAAGGTTGTAGTATAATTTTTATTATTACAACACAAAATTTAGTAAATAGAAAACCTTCAGTACAATATTTGATTTTAAAAACCTAAATACGCCTAGAAAAATGAGGCATTAATGTTGTTAATGTCTTTTGACAAAATCGTATATATTTCAAAAACGGTAAGATTAAAGTGCGGTAAACCTTAATCAAATTTACCTTTATTTTAACCGTAGAAACTAAAAATGTAATAATATACAAGGCATTCTATTTAAAAAAATACAACTCCGATATTTTTTATTTATTTGGGACACTCTGTACCTTTTGAAAATAATTTAAAATTGGAGCTTTAGCAGTCCTATAACGATCCCATCAGTTACAATTTCTAAAAATCTAATAATTTGGCTATAATACTCCGTGTGGAATAGCGTGAACAACCCTGTATGCATATTTTTCTTTCATACTGGAAACTTGTTACAAATAATATGAATTTTCATATTTTATAAAGCAAAAAATCGTGTAAAATACGAAATAAATTGGATTTTCAATAAATAAAATCCACTAATTAACCCGATTTTACTTATTTCCATGATTTTAAGCAATATTATTTCAAAAATAACATTATCAAGTCGAGTAATACAAACAAATTTTCCCCAAAAAGCCTTTTTATTGCCTAATCTAAAAACATTTATTAAGAAAACCTAAGAAAACCCACAGTTTCATTAAATTTTTCGATATACAAGTAAAAATCTTCAATTACATGTGTCTTTTCTAAGATCGGTTGATATTCGGTCGCAGCACCCTATAAAATACCGACAATTTTGCCAGTTTTGAATAAATAAACTGGCCAGAGACTTGCGGCAAATTATTCCGATTTTCTCGCCAATATTTTCGCGGAAAAACTTGAGTGCGGGTGATTGTTTTTACATTGTGATCTTCCCAGGAGTCTGCAGCGTCTATTAAATGGGTAAGTTTTTCGAAATCTGTAGTTATTTAGCTTATTTCTATCATTTTTTGGTTGAATTTTTATTAATAATTTGTTCTGTCAAATCTTGAGCGTTCAATCGACGGTCAGATATTTCCATGGCACACCACGATGGATTTACGGCGCGCCGCGCCGCGGACAATGTACGTCTTGAGCGAAATCATTCCGATATTTTTAATCAGTGGCAAAAAATACCGATTACTATAATTTCCATATGTTAGGTATCAGGAAAATGTATTTATTTTATATGTTTTGCATTGTACAGGGGAGTTACCCTCTCAAAAAAAGTTGGATTAGGTGGCAAGATATTGAAAATAATAGACCAGAAATTTTATTTTCCATTTTGTCAGAATAATTTTTAAACATATACAGGGTTGTTCACGCTATTCGACAAGCAGTATTATAGCCAAAAATGATTAGATTTTTTGAAATTGTGCGTAAGGGATCGTTGGAGGACTAATTAATTAAAATTAATATTATTTGCAAGAGGTACAGAGTGCCCCAAATAAATAAAAAATATCAGAGTTGTATTTTTTTAAATGGAATGCCTTGTATATTATTAAATTTTTAGTTTCTACGATTATAATAAAGATAAATTATTTCATTAATGTTTACAGAGTGTCCCAAATAAATAAAAAATATCCGAGTTGTATTTTTTTAAATGGAATGCTTTGTATATTATTAAATTTTTAGTTTCGACGATTATAATAAAGGTACATTTGATTAAGGTTTACAGAGTGTCCGAAATAAATAAAAAATATCAGAGTTGTATTTTTTTAAATCGAATGCCTTGTATATTATTAAATTTTTAGTTTTTACGATTATAATAAAGGTGGATTTGATTAAGGTTTACAGAGTGGCCCAAATAAATAAAAAAATATTAGAGTTGTATTTTTTTAAATCGAATGCCTTGTATATTATTAAATTTTTAGTTTTTACGATTATAATAAAGGTAAATTTGATTAAGGTTTACAGAGTGTCCCAAATAAATAAAAAATATCCGAGTTGTATTTTTTTAAATGGAATGCTTTGTATATTATTACATTTTTAGTTTCGACGATTATAATAAAGGTACATTTGATTAAGGTTTACAGAGTGTCCGAAATAAATAAAAAATATCAGAGCTGTATTTTTTTAAATCGAATGCCTTGTATATTATTAAATTTTTAGTTTTTACGATTATAATAAAGGTAAATTTGATTAAGGTTTACAGAGTGTCCCAAATAAATAAAAAATATCAGAGTTGTATGATTTTAAATGGAATTATGCCTTGTATGTTAATAAATTTTTAGTGTCTACGATTATAATAAAGGTAAATTTGATTAAGATTTACCGCCATCTTACCGTTTTTGAAATATTTACGATTTTGTGAAAATGCATTAACAATTTTAATGCTTCATTTCTTTAGGAGTATTTTAGTTTATAAAATCAAATATTTGTACTGAAGTTTTTCTGTTTTCTAAATTTTGTCTTGTAATAATGAAAATAATACTATCTACTTTATACAGAGTGTCTAAAAATTATTTTAAATAATTATACTAGCTTTAAACGGTAATAAGTTCTTTAATTTAAATGGAACACCCTGTATATTTTACGTGAATCAGATGCACAATTTAATTGTCTATCGATTTGTATGATACCAGTTTTACCTATCTCTTCAAGTTTTCGTAGAAAAAACATTTTTGTATAATTTAGACCTTATTTTTTTTAAATTCATTCGGACCTTTAAAAAAACTATTTACGACTTTGCTGTAAAATCAACAGGGCATGGGATTTCGTATGTTTTCAACGACGATGCAACCACCCGGTATATGTCCGCTATTTTTTGTGCTACCCCGCCTGTTATGGGTTGACTCAAATGAGAAAATCTGTTCACTTTACTGAAAAAAGTATACTATACCTTTGGTGAACCCTAAAACCAAACTGATGATCATTGTGACGCATACAAGTGTTAATCCACAATGAACAAAATAATCAGACACCAGTACAGAGTAAGGTACGGTACTTTTCAGTTCGTACTTCAAAAATAACACTCCAATAGCCGCACCAATCCACCCCAGCACACAAAATCCACTAAAAATCTTGTAGAATAACTCGAAATTTTGTTTGGGTCCATTTTTTGGGTAAACCGGAGGACAAACTCCAAAAATTGAGCATAAAACCATCAAAGGGCTTAAAACATCGAACGATTTACTGAAGAAATGTCTTTCCTTCATTTTTGTGATGGCTTTTCTCTCATAGATTTTTGTATGACTAAATGTTTTTTTTGCTACGCATTCCAAAATGAAATTTTTGTTGTTATCAAATATTTACGAGAAGGGATTAAGCGGTATCTTGGGTTCCGATAAAAATAGATATTTAATCATTTTTATATTTTTTTATAAATAGGTATATTAGTTATTAATCCATCTCGGATTGAATCTTATCTATATTTTTAATTTGCACAAAATAGTGACTGTACCTATACTATAAGCATTTGTAGATACCGTATGATCGAGAAAAAACGGCGTCAGCGATGGCTATGAAATGAAGATCGCTGTCATTTTATATGTAAATTTACATGGGAAATGTCATCGATTGTCATTTCCCAGCCAACTGGACGCCGTTTTTTTTCGATCATACGGTATTAATGATATGAATAGTGATGAAAGAGACTTGTTTTGGTCTTGCACAAAAAGCAAGATTAAGACCAAGACTAGCGTTTTATCTGCAAGACCAAGACCAAGACCGACCAGTGCAGGACTTACCCAAGACAAAGGCTAAGACCAAGCATGCAAGACTCATGAGGTATTGCGGTCTTGCCTTTTTCTTTTTACGTTTGTTTTTTAGTAGGTACATACTATTTTTCCCAGATAAATTTAAAAAAAAAATAAGAAAAATTTTATTTACTAGTACCCTTTGCCTTGTAATTTCTTAAATAATAAAAATTGTGTGTCCACTATGTGCGCATATAAAAATTCATTACTTCTTTCTTCAAAACGTTTTATTTGTATTAAATTACTTTAAATACTCTACTATAATATACTTCCTTGTTTAAAGATTTTCTATGTTGAAAGTGCCTCTAGTAAAAATTTATTAAAAAAGTGCAAGACCTACAAAAAACTAAGACCAAGACCCAGCCGAGTCACCATGCAAGCACTAAATAAAAAAAACCTGAGTTTTATTTTGACTCACATCCAAACAAGAAAAAACAACTCAAATACATTGGTTCTAAACTATTTATTAAAATTAAACAGAAAATTTAACACCTTTGTCACAAATTACCTGTGCTTTTGTGGTCTTTATTTGACAAGCCGGTATCAAATAACTGTCATTCGCCTATTCCTACTTTGAAAATGATCAGAAAAATGTCGCACGCACAATGGCATGTAGGTATCGAGCTAAAAACCAGGAAATTCCATTCTAATGGCCTTTTTGACACTGTCACCTTGCGGTTTTCGACATCTATTATGCCACAGAATAGGCTTAGATCGGGTCAGATTGTGTCCCTTGAGGAGATTAAACGTAAAACGATATATTTTCCAAGGAAAAAATAAGATTAAGAAAAATGGAGCATAAGTGGTGTGGCTTTAGTGCTAGAGGTGTTATTTTTCAATTATAGATAATTAAATTTTGATAATAGAAAGTTTTTGTGAAGATTACGCACAATGAGATTATAGTAAGAAGTTTTTTTGCGGGTTCTAGGTATTTAAGAGTATTATATTTTGTTAAGTATCTATTTATAGTTTCATTGCTTCTGTGGCTATAATTTTTTTTGATAGTTGCTTCAATGGAATACCGGATGTTGCATCGTCGAGCGGGACATAGGAAATCCCATGTAAATTTGAATGGGGTCAGTTATTGGCTTCCCTAATTATTTTAGAGAATAATTCTATTCATGTTTATTGAAGAGCACTAAAACCCACATTCAAAAGAATAACTTTAGATATTTTTGATTAGCCCGTTTACGTGTTATGGCCGATTTTTTTTAAATATTTCTCCTTTCTTATGGCCCTGTATTTACTTATGAGCACCAGTCAAGGTAAAAGATAACTGTCAAATGAAGTTGTCATATCAGAAATTTATCTATTTAGTGCTTTATTATTATTGAAAACTCATTCCTACATCGGAAATCTTAAAGATATAAGTGTTTATAAATACAAATTAATATGAATTAAAGTAAAATAAAGTAATCAATTACAAGGTTAATTATAGTATTATTACAATATTCAATAACTTATCAATGTAGGTACTATTAAATTGTTAGAACTTTAGGCTTTAAGAAAATGTTCAAATATTCCTCTATCGACTACTAGACAATAACCCAGGCGATCATAAAATTCTCTTCTTACATTCGAGAGTTGGTAAACAGAAATTCTATTGCATTCGGCAGAAATAGCATTTTTTAACTCGTCTAGATTTGGGTATTTTTTATCCTTGTATATCCTGTTTTTTATATGGCCCCAGAGAAAGAAATCATTTGGCGAAATATCAGGAGACCTTGCTGGTCAATTTACTGTATGATTTAGGCCAATAACGTTAAAACTATTGTCTAAATATTCCTGAACAGCCAGGGTACTATGTGTCGGGCAGCCATCCATTTGGTACCAAACTTCCTGATTTTCCCTAGCGGCATCATGTAAAGTAGGTAAAATATGATTTTCGAGTAGTTCCAAATAATATTCTGCATTTAAATTTCGCGTAAGAAATAATGGCCCTATAATATTGTGACCGAATATCCCTGCTCAAACATTTACTTTCTGTGGATATTGCGTCCTTGTTTCGACAAACCTGTGTTGGTTTTCTTTGTTCAAATATCGATAATTTTGAACATTGGGTTCATTATTTAATGTAAACGCGCATTTGTCAGTGAAACACATGTTTTTTAAAAATTCCCTATCCGTGTTTGCTCTTTCCGTCATATCAAAACAAAACGCCTGCCGCCGTATTTCGTCCCCATCTCGTAGCTCTTGGTGCTTTTCATTCATCATGAAGGATTCAAAGATATTTAAATTAAAAAAAAAGGAATTAAGAGTTTTAATAATTTCATACTCTTATCACATTTTAATATATCCAAAAATATAAAAATCACATTTTTTACAATTTCCTTTTTACTCTAATGTTAAATAAAATCTCACCAAATGGTCCTCGGCATTACGAATTCAGCGCGGGTCTCTATCATCCCTTTTCCGTTTGGTCCACAGTGTCAACGTGGTCCCGAGGGGCTGTTTTGTGCTATTGTCAGAGGGGGCGAATAGCGTGGGGCCAATCGAGGCCCGACGAGGGAGAACGAATGCGTCTTGCCGGCCCCCTTATCTTTTGTCGGGGGACGCCATTAGAGGGAATTGCGATTTTTACAGGGGTTGTGTAACAAATTCACTGATGTCAGGTCATAAACTAAAATACTAGTTGTATTAACAGAACCTAGTTATATATAGCCAATTCTTATCTTTCTTGACTAATTTCACTTACTTAGCCATGGAAACAAGTTCAATCGTCGTTGCTCTCAGAAATGTGAAACTGTCTCATCCAAACTTTGTAAATTAAAATAAACAAAAATTGTAAATATGAATTTTTCAAATGAAGAAATGCGTGTAAGATTATTGGTTCAACTTTTCTGGGCCATACAGAAAATGCCCGCACACTATTATAAACTCTAAATATTAATAACGTAAAACATATTATTTTTTTCCATTGCAACTGTTAAAATTGCCTTATATCTATCAAAAATAGTAGATAAAATAGTACTTTAACCGCAAGGGTAGATTAAATAAATGATACTTTAACAGCAAGAATAGGTTAAAAAATTTATTTCTTCTCGCACGTTTTTTAATTGCTTCCATTTTTGAAAATGTTTGTACAGTGGTGACGCTAGAACATTTTTTTTATATATTTCAATACTTATATATACTAATCTGAATAATATGCACTCATCTTTTAGGTTAGAAATAACATTATCAAATTAAATTTTATATAGTATTATTTATTACTGCAACACAGAATATGTAACCCAAAACATATAAAATATCAAATAAATAAAAAAATAAATAAAAACAAAACAAAAAACAACAACAAAACTAACTAAATTAAAATAAATAATGTAAATAGGAACATGAACATGTTAAAATTCTTTTTTCCTAGCTCTCGCATGGGCGAAAGTTGACACAATATTATCAATGTCTATTGTACGAGTAACTTCATTTTCTATTGAAATAGTTGCCGTAACTCAGCTGCCTTATCGTCCCCTTAATACAACCATTAGGTAACTAGAGTGATTTTGAGTTAACTAGTTTGGCCAGTATAATTTTTCATACTCTTTTTGATGCTACAACTAACGTAGTAATATTTCTATTCGATGGTACAGAAATCCAGTGACAATACAGCAAATTTCCTTTTTTTGTCAAATTTAATGCTCTAATGAAAAATCACATATTTCTAGTTATTTTTATTTTGCAAAATAAAAAGGAAAACACAGCTACAAAATTGCACAAGAACAAGTGTAAAGTAATAAGTTATTTTCGCGATAGCGTGTGCTAGTTAAGTAGTTAAGAAGACATGTGGTAGATAAGAACTTAGTTCGGGATCGCCCGATTCTGCTTGATTCGCGATAGCATGTGATAGATATGGGAATGCGGCCCGGGCCCGTGTGCTTCGCACACCCGGCCCATCGATAGTTACGCCACTGGTATGTCCTCATGTGTAGTGAAAATTAATATTCTTGCTTTATCCACAAAGAAGTTACAGGGTGGTCAAAAGTGCCGCTAATACCTTCGAGAAAAGGATGGTACGTGCCCCCAGATAACATTTTAATTTACTATTTCGAGAGATATTTCATTGTAAAACAATGATATGAGAATAATGATGTAAAAACTCCGATTGGATATTAAGTAATACCTTTTTAAGCTGACAATCTGGCAGAGTGTGACTCTATTTTAATAAAAGATTATTCTGCGAGGGTGCCGGAACGACTGTGCCCATTCACACCCCTGTTCCCGTTTGTTTTCGATCAATAGAACATCTCTTAAACGCACTCACGTTTCGACGATGCGACGTCGTGCATTATCAGGACCGATCAGAGGGGGTGGATATTGACTGGAAAAAAGGGAGATTGAACAGAGCGGAGGGTAGATGGAATGAATATAGATATCGGCCATTTTGTTCTACTGGGTAGGATGAAAAAATATAGTAATATAATGATAAAAATATTATTTAATTTTCTCCGATTCTTAAATTTATTTTCTGTTATTTTAGAAAATATTTCTAATCAAGTTC